TTAATTTTTTATCTCCACTGTGGTTTATGATCCAGTTCTAAACCAATGAAAATTACATATCTTTATTTTAAATATGAATTTAAGTTCATAAATTTTTCATTTAATTTTAAAATTTAACAAATAAATTTATTTTATAAAATAAAAATTAAAATCAAATGAATAATAAAAAATAAGTATTGATATTTTAAAACCATAATTTAAAATATAATTTTTAAATCTAACCGAATCAACTAGATTTCTCCAGCTCATAATGTTCATTTCTTTTTCTATTTTGACCAAACATTAATGAACATCCAGTAAATAGCTACTTAGAAAATTTTTCCTATAATAATTTAGTACTGAATATTATCGTGTCATCGATAGAAATCACGCTTATTTTTCTTGTTCCCTTAGTTAAGATAAAATAGAATTTATATTTATGGGCACATTCTATGTAATAATAACATCTAAATTTAAATTTTATCATTATTGTAATCAAAACTTTTTGTCTACTTAAGAATATCATCATTTAACTTAAAAAAAATATATGCAAATTGTCACCATTCAAAGTAAGATGATATGTATGTAAAAGCCTAAGTATAAAATTAGATATGTAAATTCGTAAATCTGACAGAAATGTTAAATTTAAAATTTGAAATAATGGTAATCACTGTGTAGACGATTACTCGCGCTGTACTAATTACTCTTAAATGTAAATAAAAAATATTATTATAATTTTGTCGTACGCTTATAAATCTTTAGATGGCAATAAAGACGCAAAAAATGAGATTGCTGACGTCAAACCGTGGTATTCACTAATGTCAATTAAAATGTTTTGCTCTGAGGTTCATCATTTATAAAATTTACACATGCCCCTGTTCCAAAAAAGAAACCTACAAGCTAAAAAGAAAAATTTAAAGATTTCCGGTGAATCAACTAAACTGCTGGCAAGGACTCTGGCCGCCACGATGGCTCGGCAATATCGGACAGCGGGTAGACCACATCAGTGTAACCGAACAGCTCTCCTTCTAAAAAGCCCACATCTTCGCCAGCAAAAGATTGACTCTCATCAGGACGAAAGGAAGTGTAGTCAAAGCCTTCGAAGCTCTCCGGCAATTCATCAGCCAAGCCCCAGATCTGGCCAAATCCGGCATCCATGTCGCCGCAAACCTTTTTAACCTCCGAACCACCCTCCTCTGAGGAGGCCACCGTCGGCGGTAGGCCAAGCTCGTCGTCGGAGGCCTCAAGAAGGTATCCTAGTTCTTTCTGTTGTGCATCGCCGGAGACGAAGGGTACCTCCGACTGCTGAGGGTCTATTGGGGACGGTAGTCCAATCTCTTCCTCAAGGCTCTTCATGACAAAAGCAAGGCCATCCTCACTTCCGTCATCGGTGTCATCGTCAAAGATGCAGAATAAAAGATCAGACCGCACGCGCTTCTCCTCCGGCGAGTCCCATAACTCGTCGGAGCCCTCTCGCTCTCGCTTGTGGGTTGAGACTTCACCCATGCGTGGAGAAATAAGGTTGTGTTTTTTAGCAGTGATAAGGCCTGGGTAAAGATTATATAGGGTGGTGAATTGGGGCATATTGTCTTTAATTTTTTTTATTTGGGTGCATATTGTCTTTAATTTTTTTAAAAAATATGTATAAAAGATAAGAAAGGAAATGATAGGTGGGTGTGATCGAGAAAGGGCGCGTGTAGTTAAGGAATGCATCATCACGGGCGCCTACTAACCTTTTACCCCCACTTTTTTTTTTTTAGTTTCATGTTTTGTTTTAATTTTCACAACTGATTTAGTATTTATTTTCTCGAGAAGGTGAGTGTAATTGGATTTGAAGTCCGCATTTGAAGTCCGGGCATGAGGGGACCACCAACACCGTCAGCGTGCCTTGGCTGTGACCGGCTTGTTTGGCGCTTTGATTGGTTGGCGGTGGGAAGAGTTGAGCGTTCGTCGATTTCTCGTTTTTTTTTAAAAAAAAAACCAGAGGGGGCTGGGAGATTTACGGAAAAATCCTTATATTAGTTTGTTTGGCAGGAAGGACATTTTTTTTTTCCTTGGAGAGCATAAAAATGTGAAAAAAGAGATTATGAGAAATTGCGGCCGGTGACCTATAGTAACACCTGTCTTGTTGTTTTCAGTTGATCCTTCACCAGATAAACTAACTGATAAATTAGATAAGTCGTTCAAATAATCGAATTAAAATAATTAGCGAAACTTTCTCGTGCTATTGCATGGATTCCCCCCTTTAGGTGATGGTGCAATTTCCTATGCCATGGCTGCGTGAGTCAGGCATTAGGCGAAACGAAAATTAACAATTGTTAACATAAAATTAAGGGCTCCCATTTTTTAAAATAACTACTTTCTTACATCTTTCAATATCTGTTTCTGATTTTGAGTCGCTGAGGATGAAAATATAAAAAAACAATATGTTCCTCTTTTTTATTTTAGTTCCTTTAAATAATACTTGCCACAAATGAGTAATAAATAATAGCAGAAAAAGTTACATATATGCAATTTTGTGTAATTTCAAATAAAATATTTGGAGACATTGGGTTTATACTCTACTGTACGGCAAATGACATTCAATCCAGAATCGCTACGCCTAAGAAGATGTAAAATATTTAAACTAAATAATTTTTTGTTAAACCAATTTGTGTTATTATATACAGTGTATGATGAAAGTGCATTAAATTGGATTCGAAGATTATGAAGATGACACATGTAAAAGAATCAATCTTGATAACCTTATAGAACTATCACCGGCATGGTAGAGATGATCCAACAGACCAAAACGAGAAGGTCGACTTAAAAAGTTGACGAATCCGAATAGAAAATAACAGAAAATTTCAAGAGCAATATAGACATTTCACTATATAACTTCTATTTATTATAAATATATGACAACATGTAAATGAACCTTTTTTTTGAAGCAAGATAATATTACTAATGTGATACGCTTGATATTTTTATTCTCTCTCTCTCTCTCTCTCTCTCTCTCTCTCTCTCTCTCTCTCTCTCTCTCTCTCTCTCTCTCTCTCTCTCTCTCTCTCTCTCTCTCTCTCTCTCTCTCTCTCTCTCTCTCTCTCT